TGGCTTCCTTGCTCCGCCCACTATGGTATATCAAAACGCACGGTAGCTCTACACAGCCCTTTATGGAGACGAAGGAAAATCATTACAACTGTATATATATAGGGTAGTCACAGAGTGTTCCACAAGGTCGTGCCAGAATGTCCGTGAGGGGGCGAGAACCGTCGAGTCAAGGTGCTTGACTCGGATTGGCTGGCATTCTGACCAATCAGGGCATGCCTACGTCTGGCCCGTGTCCTGCACGTGACACATCCGTCCGAATGATGTGATGTTCGGTTATTAGGGACGGCTGGCCCCCGAACAGGAGAATTAGGATCTGCGTCGAAACACTTGGGTCGCAGCGACGGTTCCATGGTATTCTTAGACAAGTAAATTGTTACGAATAGAGTATCGATTCTGATTGAGCGCGAGAACAAGTATGAATGGGGTAGAAAGAATAGCGCTTTACTTGTCTAGGAACAGACGTACATAAGCTGAAAATAAAGGCGAAGGCATAGTTAATACGGAACGATAGTGTGAGCACAAAGAATATTCATGACACTCACCTTAAGCCTTTGACTCAAAAGGCAGTGGGAGAATGTAGGGTTTTGTTCAGGGACCCTACCCCTTGCCTGTGACTCAAAAGTCTGACGCACGAGGCAGCGGACAGTAGGGTTTTTTTTGGGGGGGGGGGGACCCTGCCCGGAGCCGATGAATCGACAATCTGACCTGCTCGGCTGCAGGGGGTTGACCTAACACGAGGACGCGAGGAATGAGACAATGCTGTCTCATTCCTGATGCAGCTGCGCACAACAGGCGCCTTTTGAGCAGCACCGGGCTCTGGTTTTAAAACTATTTCGACCGTTTTGGATAATGCGCCGGTGGTCACGGTCAACCGTTAGGCGATCGGAGTGTGCGGTCTTTGGAGCCAACCTTTTCTAACCCGTCCTTCCTAGGGGAAAGGCAGCATCGCTGCTTCTATAAATATGGATATGCTGGTCTCATGGGGGAAATACCTTACTACCTTCACACCCCTATCACAGAGGACAGTACGACTTTACCCCCAGACCGCCTCGTAGCACAATTACTTGTTGTGCGGAATCTCGCTGCTCCTCTTTGGCCTTCCTGGCATTGTTGCACCTTGTGGACTGAGTTCTAGCCAATGTAGCCCGCGGGATCATTACGGCAGTCAAGCCCGACCACCACGTCAAGGTGGCAGCTTTAGGTCGGATGCCTGCGGCCCTCGAGTCAGTGTTTCACGAACCACCATAAGGCGATGAAGTACAAGTGACGTTATAACCGAGCAGTCTCATCGATTCTCTCCTGTAGTCTGTGACGGTTTCATTTTCCCAAATACAGGCAACTAGATCAGATACTCGCTGACTTCAGCCCCATATTTGAACAATCCAGTTGACTCATTCGGGTTAAATTACTGTTGGCCCCAAGGCCTTGGAAGTGGGCGGAAGCCTTGTCTATCTGGGAAGCAGATCAATGCACAGCGCATTTCACTATCCTGGCTGTTGCCACAAGCAGACAGCCAGCCGCTTCCTCGTTTCATCGGAGTCGCTTATTATGACAGTGGCTTTCTTTTTTTGTTTCTCTTTCTTGTTTCGTCAACATTTTACTTTTTTCGACAGTAATGAGGGCTTCTCCAGCCTTCAGTTCAATCCTTGCGCGATACTGATTAGGGTGATGAATGTCAATGCAACAATCCATCAGTTGTCTCTTACATCTGACACTAGTTCTTCACCACTATCCACCTTTGGAGAGTTTCTCTGCGTGTATGGGACACGAAAGCATATGACGCTTAACATGCATAAGTCGCAGCCACTATTCAGTAAAGCTTACTCGTGAAGAGTGATCATCCGTATGGTTTAGTTACATCCGTTGGAAAGCGAGCGAACTATAGTTAACCTGAAACTCATTTGCAGGTTGTTGCATGCGATTACCCTGGGTAACTCCCACTAAAACAATTTGACTTTGTCGGTTATATGGGCTGCTTCTGTTACTAGCACAAGATTTCTGTGGCGGGTACTTCTCATGGAACGATGGTCAAACACACGCATGGCGTGTGTACGCACTGTCGTTTGCTTTCAAATGTGCAAATGTTTATTACTCACTTTTCCAGTGTTTATACCTTTTATAAGTCCCGTTTGGGTGTTGGTTTGTACTGTAGAGTTTACTCGTGTATCTTTCTTTTCAGTTTCATATCTGTCCACTGGTTTGCAAAAATTGATCATGAAAGTGCGCATGCTTTCTAGAAATCCTTCAGACTTCAGACGAGAAACAAAGGATGATATTTTCAAAAGTTATCGTTTATTACTTCTGCTTGATATCATGCAGTTCCTAGGAATTATGATGCCGCGGAGCATCCATTCTCCGCTGAAAGGGAATATATCCGGGCCGTTAATGCAGCCAAATTGCAGCGTATGATGGCCAAACCTTTTTTGGGAGCTTTGGAGGGTACAACGGAACAAATGGTTTGTTTGTCCCTCAATTCGGAAACCCTTGGTTTGGCGGTGTTTGGCACCGCAGATGGGAAGGTAAAGATATCTTAATTGGCCTCCTAATACACTACAACATTCACCAGATCCAATATTGGGATATTGCAACTCGTAAACTTATCTTTGAGACCCGTGCCCATGATTGCGAAATTCGAGGGATATGTCACTACAACAAGTCCAGATTCATGTACACCGTGAGTTACTGTGTCCCATTGCTGTATGAACTTTCTACTTATTTCTCAATTAACACTATTGGCGGTCGATGCACACGGCATTATGCACCTCTTTAAATAAAAACAAGGTAAATAATTACCTTGTGGATTCGAACCCGGTGGCCGAAAGAAACTGCGGCTTCAGTGAGTATTATGTGGTGGCCCCCGAAACGAACCTCTGTTTTCCCAACAAGATAACCAATCCTAATATAGTATAACGAAATGAGAATACTCCTAAAAATATTACGGATATTTGGCGCAGTGTTCAGTTTTATAATAGTCCACATGACATGTTTCAATTTTTTTTGAAACAGCGGCAGTTCTAGAGCTTTGTATATGAGCTGGCGGTGAGGGTCAGATCTTCACCACCAACATAGACTGGGTAAAATGTTAAAAAGGTAAGAGGAAAATTGACCATCCCCAGTCAGTACAAAGTAACATCCCATTTTGTTGACTAACAGATTGCTTCATGTTCTCTTTCATTCCTGAACGAAAGCTACCATAAGGTCGACTTTAGTGTTGGTGGGGAAAACCTCCAAACAACACTATTTTGAACGCTAGGTCACAAATGCTCGATCCGCTGACTATGTTCTCACATGCTCACGCTCTAGTTTCACCGTCGGCTTATGTTCTTCAACTCACCTAGTCTAGCCTATGTCCGTTATGATCATCGTCACCAGTTGTTAGTGCCGCTTAAGTGGTGCGTTGTTTCTGACCGCCACATCTCGACAGATGGCGGTGCTAGTCGCTAGAATTCAGTCTCTGAAGACAAACACTGTGGTATGATCGCTTTTTGATTGGGGCTACTTTGGTTAACTTTTGAAACACGGTATGCTGATCAGCTTGACAACCTACCCTTCATTACCCATACTGAAACTGGCTTCCTACACATTCATTGAGATCACGGAATTTTCCGTTTCACACAGTAAATACCTGAATGCTCTTGCTAACAGACCACTTGTGGGTGGCTATGGGATCAAAAGTTTCCAGAAGGACCATTCTTGTGTGAATCAACGTATATACTTAAAGAGTTCATAAAATACAGTCTTGTTGAGTTCACTTTAAATTGGATGTATGTCGTACGAACAGTTGTATTTTGCACTCTTGCACGGAAAAAAGGTTGCATCTTGTCTGAAAGTGCGGAGTTCACTAATGGGCTTTTTTTGCGAAACAAAACTGTTAGGATATCTTGGTCACGTGCTGAGTGTTCCATGTTTTATCACATTTGAGTCAAGTTGAAGCTTTGGCGGAAGACTGCATAGTGCATTCTGCTAATCTCGCTCACGTATTCTATCACTCACTGCTCCGTATGTTCGCCTTCATCCACGGCCGGCTTAGCCAAGTGCGACACTCTCTTTGGCCTTCATTTTCTTTTCAACCTAGCAAGCATGACAATGAGCGACCCCACTAGGAAAATGTTCCTCTTGATTGTTGGTCAGGTAGCTTGACCCAGCTCAGCAGTTAGCTTGCAAACTTGTCGTCACTGACGATATCGGTGCGAACTATACCGGAACGTTTGCAAGCCGACTGCCAATCTCGGTTAACGGGTAGGCATCCAGCCTATTAACAGCCTTTTGACGCATCCGAGCTACAAGTATTCCGACCAATGCGACCCACCTTTGAAACAGAGGTGTTAAACCCGAGTTCCAAATGCAATGAGCGTTGGCCTCCGAGGATTGAGTAGAAGTAAGGCTATGTGGAATATGCTGTGTATGAATGACGCAAAGTAGTTTCGATTTTATGTGGGTTGACTATAAAAACCATGTTATTATGAAGTGCTAGCGTCAGTTATTGCTTTTTCGAACTGAGCAAGCTCAGCATTTCCTCACTATAGTGAGTACTTGATCTTGCAAGTGTCAGGCCATTCCACTGTCAATCGTGGTACAACCACTTTAATATAATGGCACTCGCCTTAATCTTTAACGCCGTTGTGGCGAGTGACTGCTGTGTTTAGTCAAATGTTTGAATTTAATCGGATAGAGACCTTTGCTTCATGACAGTATGTTTTCGATACTGAAAACAGTCCACTGCAACCCTTTTCCTGCCAGGTTCTCATCGGGAGAGTTAAACAGGGTCGGTCCTATATCTTTTGCAGTTCCCTGCATCACGCACCCACTATCAATTCTCAAGTGGTCGAATGTTATTTATTTAATTATATGGGTTAATAACAGTCCCGTTTGATGAGTAATACATAACTTGTGGTTTGTTAATTATTTTAGGCCCCTCCCATCCTTGTGTGCTCTGTTTTTACTTCAGTGTAGTTTGGATGGTCAGCTGAAACAGTGGCGAATGAATCATGATGATATCGTTTCTGCTTGGTCGACACCGCTGACTACGGTTCTCCTCAGGTGGACTCCACATTGTCTGGATCACCATCCATGCGCAGATGAACTGCTTGTGGGCGGCACTGAGTCGTGTCTTCTATACAATGCAGCTCGCATGGATGTCCCAATTAGGGAGTGGAGCTGGGGTCAGGAACCTATTCATTGTGCGAAATTCAATCAAGTAGAGTTCAATGTGGCCTGTACTTTGACGAAAGACAATTCCTTGATGCTCATCGACTGCAGACAAGATCGGCCTATTCGGAAGGTTCGTCCCCTCTTGCGTACATGCGCTTTCCGGTTGAATTGATTATGGTTTCTAGTAGTATGTTATGTTATTCGAAGAACATGACTTACATAAAAACTGACTAAAGGTAATGTAAGATCCGGACTGTTAAGGATCTCACAGGACGATTGCGACTATTAAATTATACGCAGTTCGTAGCCAGTAGTCAATAGGAGCAGACAGACGTGGGGCAGCAGATGATATATTGAAGACTGACAGGAACTGGTTCTACAGACAAACGGATTAGTAAACATCATGAATTAAGAAAATGTGCAATCAACAATGGCGCAATCAGCAGGAGCGGGAAGTAGTCACTGACGCAGCACGGATTTCTATAGGGGCAATAGGAAGAAAGCGGCGGGAAAACGAGCACCAAGAAATCAAAACGGTGTCATAATAAACAGGTGTAAGTCATGTTACTCGTGAGTAGTCGGAAAACAAGGAAAGTTGCTCTTGTTCACCGTTGATTCACAGGGGGAATCAACACTCCCCGAGCCATAGTTATGCGCGGGGATTGAACCTGCAGACTGATCAGCTTCTCTGTCTCTACGATGACTTCCCTTCTGTAAGGAGTACACCCAGTCGTATTCGTGCTGGAGACATTGGTGCTATGACCTTGTTCGACTAACAGAGCTCGAAGCAGTCCACTGCAGTGAATGTGAATGGTTTACGAGTGCAGTTGTTATATATGGTAGGAAGGGCAGTAATTGGTAGCACAGTGGCCGCAACCATCGACGGCAGCGAAAACTGGACGAAAAGACGCATCTGACGGCGGTTCGCCATCGCAAAACCCAGCATCTGTTATGCACAGCTGTCGGTACTTGTCCAAAGCCCACGTGGTCATAGCTTTCTTGGTAATGTTTGATGATAAGTGCGGTGAAGTGTCTCCTTGTTAGTAGAGCCGGGCAGAGGAATCTCATGAGGTAGTGTAGAGAGGCTATAGGTGACAGTATACTTTGTTTCGTGGGAGTTTCGAGCCGGATATCTAATTGAAACAGGAATTCGTCGGAGACGGGCAACAAATATTGACATCACTTATTGAGGGATAAGCAGACCTTAAGTAGGAACAAAGCGGGGGGAAAACGAGCAGCAAGAAACGAAACGGTGTCATAATAAACAGGTGTAAGTCATGTTACTCGTGAGTAGTCAGAAAACAAGGAAAGTTACCCTTGTTCACCGTGGATTCACAGGGGGAATCAACAGGTAAGCATGATGAAAATTGATACTGACTCTCATCCTGTCAAGTGGTGTTAGGGTAATGTGCTTCTATCGTGTCGTCTTGTAGTCTGTATGCAATGCTGTGACATACTTTGAAGAGGTGTTTTCAGATGCCAACTTGATCTGTGTTCTTCCGTCCTCATCTACCACCACAGTTTTTGAGTAATACATTTGGTGACTTCCGCACTCTGTGTGCTAGTTTGCTCCAAATGTCCTGAATTGAGTGGAAATTCTAATCTTGCAATCCTTGGTGCTACCGAACAGGGTCAGTTCCAAGCTTAGTAGGAGCTATGCATTACTGGTTTGTCTCGTTGAAATGGATCAAATGTCCTAATATGCTGATCGAACCCTGGTCGCCAAACTTTATTGCTTAGTAGTTGTTTGAAGAATTCACATTTGCATCACTATCGTTTGAACAGTTCTTCTCCTGTCCCGCAACACCCGTGAACTATTCGACCCCATCGGACGTGATAGTTCAGGTGCCTCCAATGTGCGCTTGCGAAGCAGTACAAACACACTCGCCTCGTATGTCAGACGTTGGCAGTTCACAGCACGGCGCGGCCAAGGTTGGGCACAACTGATGAGTTCTAATAAGGGCTTCTTCCCGTTAGTGTGAACTCACCAGTACAAGTACATCAGGATAAGAGGATGACTGTTCAAACGAGAGGGATTTGAACATGGATTGACGTAATTCACTCTTTGTCTCGTTGAAATGGATCAAATGTCCTAATATGCTGATCGAACCCTGGTCGCCAAACTTTATTGCTTAGTAGTTGTTTGAAGAATTCACATTTGCATCACTATCGTTTGAACAGTTCTTCTCCTGTCCCGCAACACCCGTGAACTATTCGACCCCATCGGACGTGATAGTTCAGGTGCCTCCAATGTGCGCTTGCGAAGCAGTACAAACACACTCGCCTCGTATGTCAGACGTTGGCAGTTCACAGCACGGCGCGGCCAAGGTTGGGCACAACTGATGAGTTCTAATAAGGGCTTCTTCCCGTTAGTGTGAACTCACCAGTACAAGTACATCAGGATAAGAGGATGACTGTTCAAACGAGAGTGATTTGAACATGGATTGCCGCTAATTCACTCACTACTCAGGCTAGGAATGCACCACTATACCAGTTTATAGTACAGATGAATCATGTGAGTAGTCTATGGTCTGGTGTCCAAGCTCCACCCCTACATCTGATGGATGGTGAAGGCTGTTGCTGAAACTATGAAACCGCTTTGAAGTGTTTGTCTGAACTCGGACAACCCGACAATCTTTGAGCCATTGTGCTTCCTTCTGGTGGCATGTCAGTTAGGCACCGACAGGGTGTTACAGCTGAACGATTTTTTTACGCCAAGTAATTTTGCTAACCAGACCACCGGATGGTCTACTGGCTCTGTAGACTGTTCGAATTTACGTGTTGGTCTGCGCACTTTTGACCGTAATTACAAACTCGATCACATGCAGCATGACGTTGTGATATCATTAGTGCTGCTAAGTCCCGATGTCACCGGGCGTTCATAGGTTTAGTGAGGCTGAGTGATGCTCGTTGTAGGATTGAAAATACAAAAATTATGATGCCTCATATTAGTCACGCCTGATTAGCCATGAGCTCAGCGGGACGTATTGGGTCTCTTGTTTGGAGCGTGAATGTTAGCTCTTCGTGCTGCGGGTGAGGCCCTTTTTACACTGCGATGATGAACCATTTCAGCGCGTGGAAAACTTTCCACTAGCAAATTGTTCCATATTCGAGCTTTTCTTGTAATGCCAAATCCCAGTCATTCTTTTCACATCCTACACTATCACTAGACCTGAACACTATACCACTTCAATCGGTTGATTCCATGTTGCAGTAACTAGCTAGCTGTAAAAGTCCATTATTTTCTGTATAATCAACTCAGGATATGTGATTTTCTCGCATTAACGGGTACAGGTGAAGATGGATCTGAAGCTGAATTCCTTCTGTTGGAATCCCATGGAGCCATTCATTTTCACCGCGGCATCTGAAGACTATAATGTATACACATATGACACACGATACTTCAAGTTTCCGCGCCGAGTCTATCGGGGTCACGTTAACGCTGTACTCGATATTGACTATTCCCCAACTGGACGCGAGTTTGTCACCGGGAGTTACGATTCCACGGTAGGTATGCATTCTTTCCAACGTCCTCACACATGTTTTACTTCAGATTCGGTTATGGCACGTAAACGACGCTGAATCATTCGATGTCTACCATTCGCGGCGCATGAAACGCGTTCTTGGCGTCCGGTTCACACTTGATACTAAGTTTGTCCTATCGTCCTCATCAGACCAGAATGTTCGAGTTTGGAAGGCTCATGCTAGCGAAAAACTTGGCCCGGTAAGTTGACAGCGAACTGTTACATGTTGAGTAACCGATTCCCTCTATTTTCCGGTCTTCAGATGCAACCACGTGAAAAAGCATCGATCAATTTGGCTGAAGCTTTGCGTGAGAAATTCAAAGATCATCCGGAAGTGAGGAAGATTCTCAAGAAGCGACATGTTCCCAAACCAGTTTTGGCGGCTACTCGTGAGCACAATACCATTCGAGCTAAGTGGCGCCGAAAGGAGCGAAATATGCGCGTCTTCAATAAAAAAGATATCCCATACGTACCGGAGAAGGACAAACACACGGTGGCTCAGTACAAATGATGATTCTTTGTTAATACTTTTCTGTATAATACATCTTTTGATTTGATTGGTTCTTAGTTTTCCCATTGCGGTTACCGTTGCACTGTCACGCCCTCGATATCCATCCACCATCCATCACCCGGACCAGCTTAGTCTAACGAATGCAACGGGTGCTGACCTCAGGTGCTCGGTTGACTTACGGACACAAGGCGGACTGGGATGAGGCCATCTCGAAGTCGCTTTACTCTAACCACTATTACACGTCAACCGATCACGGCACAGTCTGCCACCACTATACTGTCACTTTAACGTCTCATTCCTCATCCGTCTGTTTGCAATCTTTTCTCATAGCATCCACTATTGTTATCGCTCTCTCCGCCATCCACATCAGCTCTATTTCTTCACACCAGCCGCATCCGCCGCCGCGGTTTTTCGTAACATTGCCCAGCGATCTTATGTGATTCCTCATTTTGTTTTCTGTCACTCCCAATGGCATAAGCTCTGTTGTATCTAGGCTGATGTCGCCAACTGTGTAAGGACAACTTTTAGCGAATAAGTTCGCAGCAAGACAGGGAAAATACGCATCGGAAGGAGCTGTGAAGACAAGAATCCAAAATTTTGGTGCGTAGACGGAACCAGTAAAATGAAGTTTTACTCTAAGCTTGTAAATGTTCGTAAACCTTATTGGTCTTTTTGGTGGAAGGCCGGCAGCCTAGAGGTGCACATCGATCAGCTGACCAAATATGGTGTCTTGAAGCATAGGGATTCGTTGACGGCTTCCGACTAGCTACCATGCTGCTGAAAAGGGCACATTTTTTCTACATCTGGAAGATCGTAAAGTCGTACTGAATTTACAGTTTCTCCCCCAGGACAGACCTGTCAGAATAGCTTCCTGGGACTATCTCTACAGAAACAACCAGAAGCGATCGCTTCAGAGAGTCATAACCTATAGTTAGTGTTCACTGTCGACGGGTCCTTTTGTCTTTATTCCATGTAAGACTCCACAAACGCTTGGGCCCGTTAAGGCGTCTCCGCTTACCGTCTCTTTTGCTGAAAGACGAGGATTAATGTGGAATTAAACGCTTACTTTCGAATTAGGATGGTGTTAGCTGGAGACGTACTTAGACTCAGGAACTGCATCTGTTTCATGGGGACCAAAAGTACTGTTAAAAAGTTTTCATTAACATCATCAATACTGTCGTATCAAGGAACACAGTTAGTTACGGCAGATCAGTTTTATCTATGTGTTCACTAGTTTAATTTATTTCGATTTGTACATGTCGTGAAGCTTGACCATGTACGCGCGAGAAAAACTGGTTATGGAGTTCCGTACGCCATTTCCATATCTACAGTATACTAACGTCCACTAATGGCTGAAGCGCTGCTTTTCGCGTCGTCACGGTTTCTGGCTACCTACACTGTAGCCTAGGAGCGGTTAATGGAAAACAGAGAGTACGGGAAAGTGAAATTCACGAGAAACTATTCGGCTAATGAATATGAATAAAAGAGCGGATAGGATTGCACCAATGGTTACGTGATGTTGACGCTGTGGTGGTGGCAATGGGTCAGATAACTCACTGCCGTAAAACCGCAGGCTGCACGAATCCGTGTGCTTGATGCCTTTTGTTGTGTTCTTCATTCATAAGTCTCCAACTTTGCGCGATAGTTCGATGCACGTATGTTTCAGTGGTCAATCTCCTGACACGTGAAACATTTCACTGTATTGAAAGTCGTTATTGGCCCCGAGTAGCCCAGTGGTCAACGTCGCGGGTTTTGACGACTCGGGCTCGAACCCGACCCCGCATCTCGACTGCTCTTGGCTTGGATAACCTGACAGTATTTCAGTCCTCGTGTTTCACTCGGGTGACATGGCAGATGTCAGATTAAGTGCCTAAACCTGTACTCGTGTTTCATTAAAAAAAGCAGACTTAAGAAGATGAAATAGTAGTTACTGCCACCGCTGTCAAAAGCCCCACGCGAGCAAATTATTGTCCATTCAAGCTGCCATAAAAGTCCAAAGAATCTGAGAACCCCTAAGTACATTACAGTTGTGCTTTTTTTATCAATTATGTTCCAAGAAAAGACTACGCAAGTGCTTTAGGTGGTACCCACTGTCGATTGTGTATCACCGGCCATAGTACTGCGTGCTCCATTGGTCTTACTCCTTTTCAAGCGTACGTGCCCCGTATGACTTGTCCGGTATGTGTACTGTTTATGTTTGCTATTCAGAGAAAATCATGTGAGAGATTTCATAGTTGGAGGACTCGTCTTTGTTATCTTATCCGTGTGCTCCTGTGGTAGGCCCATTGAAGGTTAGTCAACAGTCCAAACTTCGCTGAGTTCTATCTTACGGCGTAGCATTGGTCCTCTTTGGTGCTGTCTTGTCGTGAAACGCATCTATCGATGTAAAAATCTAATATTCACGAAATAGACTGATTACCTGCACGTCAACGGTTTTATACGTCCTTCAAACCTCGATTATCGGTAACAACGGATCGTCAGCTTTTGGAACTTGTGAACCCATCTATTGCAGAAGGATCACCACGTTTTCCTCTTTCGTTAACCTATAACTTCTCTCTTTCGTTTCAGCCATCTGTTTATTGTGTTCTTTAATGCATAACCTGAATTCATGGCAAATACTTGAAATCGAATTCCTACACCAGGCTTGTCCAAAATTAGACCCTAATTTATGTTTCGAATTCTCAGAGTCTTGCAGAACCGGTTCATTCTGGATCAATATATCGTTGCCCGAATCGGGCCTATGGCTATGCGGACCTGCTACTAAAGAACCCCCAAGAAACAATGTGGTTGTGGAAGAGTCTCCTGAACGGTGCATCTATCGAATCACGCACATACCTCCCATAATTATGAATTTCTCACTACCTCCTGCTTATCCCGGTCGGGTCACGGCGCCTATTGNCCTAGATTCCTGTTGGATGCCACAATCAATGTTATTTCACTTGACCGAATGTTTGAAGCATGTGATCGCTTCCAATCCCGGTGAACTCATCTTATGGTCTTTGGTCGAGTTTCTCAGAAACGAATCTCTTCCTGTTATATTCGGTTGTACTAACACAACTAAACGCGGACCTTTACACATCAATCTATATGACTATTTTGCCAAATACCACAAGGAACTACCGTTTTCCATCACACAATGCACTGCATTTTTTGTCGCGCATAATGATGATTGCTTGGACCTTGAGTACGACTCCGCCCGATGGGAGTGTCCCGTTTGCTTCACAACCAAACCGGGTACCAAATTCTTTCGATTTCGCACTTGTAAGCATCGCACTTGTATGAGATGTGTTCGCCAGGGCTTCATTTGCGCGCTGAAAGATGGCCTGATGGAACAAAAGATGGCCTGTCTCTTGTGTGGTTTGGAAGTCGAACCCAATGAGGTAATTAACTGCAAGATGTTTGGAACCGATGAAGTGTTAATTGTTTCAGAGAGGGATTTGGTAAACAATCGGTGAATTTATTGGTGGGTACGAAGGTTTATGTCGGTCAAACAGCCAGGGAGTTGCACACTACAATCGGTGAGCATAAGGAGTTCGTCAACATGCCACCAATATCGAGCGATAGTAAAGACTCGGCAATGGCAAGGCGCATAAAGGATACGGAATAGATTTGGAAGATGCGGAAGTTTTTCGGCAAGGACGTCAATTCATATCACAGCGCTTGGGGGTCGAGGCGGTGGAAATCGCTATACACCCCGGCGTGAATAAAACAGAGGGTGTTGAGCTGGCTTGAGTGCGGGGAGTGTTTCCAGATCAGCCGAGATGACACGATGCGGTGTGCAGTTATCGGTGGAACGCCCTTGGTCTAAAGTACGATATCCGAAGAGAGTACTAAGAGCATAGTCCCCCCACCCCAACTTCAATCCCATTGTCTTAGAACGCCTTAACTCACAAAGGCAAGCAAAATGTGTTGTCAATATCCCAGAGGAATAGTCCATTAAGTTCACCTAGACCGGAAAGGCAAGGCTTGGGAATCCGGATTCGTCTTGGAGACGGTCCCTCCTGAAGTCTATCATAAGTTTCAGTTATCCACACTAATTGACCAACGAGAACTTCTTTCCCTAGATTCCTGTTGGATGCCACAATCAATGTTATTTCACTTGACCGAATGTTTGAAGCATGTGATCGCTTCCAATCCCGGTGAACTCATCTTATGGTCTTTGGTCGAGTTTCTCAGAAACGAATCTCTTCCTGTTATATTCGGTTGTACTAACACAACTAAACGCGGACCTTTACACATCAATCTATATGACTATTTTGCCAAATACCACAAGGAACTACCGTTTTCCATCACACAATGCACTGCATTTTTTGTCGCGCATAATGATGATTGCTTGGACCTTGAGTACGACTCCGCCCGATGGGAGTGTCCCGTTTGCTTCACAACCAAACCGGGTACCAAATTCTTTCGATTTCGCACTTGTAAGCATCGCACTTGTATGAGATGTGTTCGCCAGGGCTTCATTTGCGCGCTGAAAGATGGCCTGATGGAACAAAAGATGGCCTGTCTCTTGTGTGGTTTGGAAGTCGAACCCAATGAGGTAATTAACTGCAAGATGTTTGGAACCGATGAAGTGTTAATTGTTTCAGAGAGGGATTTGGTAAACAATCGGTGAATTTATTGGTGGGTACGAAGGTTTATGTCGGTCAAACAGCCAGGGAGTTGCACACTACAATCGGTGAGCATAAGGAGTTCGTCAACATGCCACCAATATCGAGCGATAGTAAAGACTCGGCAATGGCAAGGCGCATAAAGGATACGGAATAGATTTGGAAGATGCGGAAGTTTTTCGGCAAGGACGTCAATTCATATCACAGCGCTTGGGGGTCGAGGCGGTGGAAATCGCTATACACCCCGGCGTGAATAAAACAGAGGGTGTTGAGCTGGCTTGAGTGCGGGGAGTGTTTCCAGATCAGCCGAGATGACACGATGCGGTGTGCAGTTATCGGTGGAACGCCCTTGGTCTAAAGTACGATATCCGAAGAGAGTACTAAGAGCATAGTCCCCCCACCCCAACTTCAATCCCATTGTCTTAGAACGCCTTAACTCACAAAGGCAAGCAAAATGTGTTGTCAATATCCCAGAGGAATAGTCCATTAAGTTCACCTAGACCGGAAAGGCAAGGCTTGGGAATCCGGATTCGTCTTGGAGACGGTCCCTCCTGAAGTCTATCATAAGTTTCAGTTATCCACACTAATTGACCAACGAGAACTTCTGGCCGAAATCCAACTCTGATTAGGTCGGTTGGTCATAAGAAATCTCACCGATTGGCTCTCTGACTGCCTTAGAACTCGAAACGTTGCCCAGCAATAAAGCCGCCGATTGTATACCAAACCACTGAAACAAGGTAACATTTTCTCATTGTTTGTGTATACTGTGCGAAGCGTTGCTTTTTTCTGCATCCGCTCAAAGTGAAACCTTCAGATTATCTACCCGTACCATTTCATGCAGCCTGTCACTAGTTTTATGTTCCCCCCCCTCATTTGGGTGCGTACACTTCATACGCGTCATATTATGCGTTGCTTACTTCTGCTTGTCGAGTCCAAGTTCAGGATCGATGAAGTGGCTTTCATATCGTACCGCGCTCCATCAGCACGCACTGTAGTGCTTCGGACGTCTCATTTGAAGGAAATAAAATTTCTTACGAATATGGGGAACAGCTATCTCGACTGAGATGTCTTGCAGGTTTGGATGTTTTATGTTTACCGACAGCGAGGGGATCAGGAATCGATTGTCTTGATAGCGTTGCTCCACGGTATACACCATATGTGTGCCTTATCAATGATGGTCGATCGTTGTTTTCTTAATCAACCTTACTCAAATGGACTACAAGCATCCGAACGTCAACTTTGTACCTCTGGGAAAGTAGATATTGATGTCTTGAAGTAATTAATGAGGAAAAAGTGACTGGATATTGATGACTGTCCTCACACTTTTCACACGTGAAAGTTCCTCTCCTCACAAAGGACACATTAAGCAGTACATTCAATTTTTGTCATTAGGCGATTAGCTGTGCTTGAAAGTTCTATTTTTGGGCCTGTTCACGCCCTTGTCCGCCAGCCTGAATCTTCCAGCTGCACGAGATGGTTCTTGGAGTGTCTGTCCCTGAAGGTGACGATTCGACCACTCAACGAGGGGTCGTCTAACCGTTCGCAACCGTGCATAGCGATCCGTTGGTAATATAATTTGCTCTCTTGGAACCCTACTCCATTTAATTCTTAACTTGATAGGGATCTCAAGCTACTCGAAGATTAATGACTGCTAATCACAATTGTCTGGCTACTCAGTGACGACGAACCCTGGGCCCAGATAAATGTTGAAATTGCTGAAACCTGAGACTCGATGGTCCTTCCTGTTCAACATTATGCTTACATTCCTTGGCATAATTTGTAGCACACGGGTGACTCGAGATTCTCTAGGGGAAAAAACGGAGTGAATGCAGCCGAGAGATTCATCTGAGGTTCTGCTGAATCTGCCATCAACATCAGAGTACTTTTCAGTTGTGTGCAATTCGGTCAAGTGAAACATAAGGTTGACAGAAACTCGGATACTGCGCCTACGTGATGAGTCCAATGAGAGGCGAAGCCAACAGTCGGTCGCGCACAACCGTCCCATATCCCTTATGTCCAACGATAACTGTCTGACGAAGTTGTTGGTTGGTCAGAACTAGTAGTATCACAAAATACTGATTTGCTTAACTTACAGGGGCTTCAAGGAAGTCGTGTTCGATTAATTTTGATGCTTTTATTAAGATGTTTACAGAATTGCTATGTAAAAACTGCTGTTCTCAGAGGTTGAGACGAGATTCTAGGACTCTCGGTAGTTTATCCAGGCAAGCTAACACACTATGTAGTCAGCTCGAAAACGTTTTTTGGTTTCCTAATCCTGCTGTCCAACTCTTCTCTGCGCTTAGGCCCGTCAGGTGCTTCCGCCAACTGAGTACGATCGGTATGAAAGATTGCTCCTAAACCGAGCACTTAATCGAATGTCAGACATTGCATTCTGTCCGCGCCCTGGGTGCAATAACAATCCTGTGATCCTTGATTACAAAGACTTGGGACGGTGTACGATATGTGAAATGGCGTTTTGCCCACGGTGCAACTGTGTTTCTCATGGAATGCTGAAGTGCCCTAAGAGAAGTTCAGAATCGGACGACGGTACGCCGTATCTTCATTTTCCAGTGTTTTACAGGATGTTCAAAATTACTTTTTCATACTTTTTTTGGGTCATGTGGGGTATAAGCTAAGCGGACTGGCAGTGCTAACGTATCAATAATCCACAACTGCAGAGCTTAACTAGACCTCGTTGCATCGTGTTGGGTGCCAGTGGCAAAATGTTCCTAGTCAACCGGCGGAATCCACCGTAATTCTTAGCTTGTCACCCTGCCACATGCGATCGATGGGCTGCTTAGGTTGTAGTGGTGGCTTTTCCTTCTCTCGTGTTACAGTCATCAGAAGTCGACAGCAATTTCAGGACGGATTATACACAGACCTATGTGGTACATTATATGTATTCTTACGACATTCCCCTTACTCAGTTATACACCGTTTTGTAGGAATTCTAAGTTCTTTTCCACTCGAATCTACTGATTCGATAGGTCACTGAACACAGAATCTGGGCATACTTGTAACATTGAGTACCACTAGTAGATAGACTGGAGTAATCGCACATGTGCACACAGACACGATCTCACGAATTGAAACCTCTACTACTCATAGCAGCAGGTTAGTCTACTGGCAAATGTAGGTCAGTCGCAAATCCACTGCTTTTGTCGCGCATCTTGTCGGTGTATTAAAAGCCGTTTCGAGAATTAGAAAGTGTTTCATATTCGGTCCGAGGTTTTTTTTCCTTCAATGGGGAAGAAACTCTCCGTCGCACGACTTGTCTGATCGGGAGGAACCAGTAGTGTTCACAAAACGGTTGACTTAGTTGATATTGATATTGGTAGCGCCCAACTAATTTTAGTCTGAATGGCTCCTTATGAACTCCGGTCAGTGCAAGTGCGTGTGATAAGTCATCATACCAAAACAACCTTTTAGAATTAAACATTTATTTGTAAATTAAGACGATTTGAAAGGGATACGCATCTGAATCTCTCGTTTATAGAATTTGTCAACTGAATGTTTTAAACAGATATTCAAGATGTAGACATATTTTCCGCGAAATGACTGCTTAAAAGATCGATAACAACTTACTAGCAGTAGTAAAGGAAATAAAAACTTCGATGTTGTTTCAGCTGAAAAATGAAGTGACTTTTTTGCAGCACATGATTGGAGCGAATTATTGACCAGAGCGTCAGCTGGAACTGTCATCAACACTAAGTATGCTTCATGGAAATTCAATAAATAGATCTGTCTGGTGAGTTTATAAAATGAGCGCAAGAGTTCTCATCAACCATGTGGATAGGGTCATACCTAGGTTGCAAAGCTTATTTCCAAAGAAATATGTTTCTGTCAACCTTTTACACAGGTTTCATATTGTGAATCCCACCCAATTTTGATGAACAGTTAGTTTCACCTAGTCGAATTTGACCTGGTAACTTCGTTTTAAGTCCTGGAAAGCAAATTTCCTGCCCGGCTCTCGCAACGCGCTCGTTATTCTGCACTGTTACTGCAGAATCGCTAGGTCCTTGTGTAGGCTATTCTTTGGATTGAAGGTAGAAGAGCGATGTAACCAAAAGAAGCCGGTAAACCAATCAGTTACTTGGTGTTCTTTGAGGTTAAATGGCACAAACTGGTTATGACGTTTTCAATCAGCTGGAAAATGTTTGCGACTGATCGAGAAGTCATCGTTTTAGAAGACCTTGGTATAGGGATTGTTTACGAAGCCTTTCTTAAACGTGGGTTGGCAGGTTGATCAATGTGGACAGTTTCCGTGCACTGTAGAAAAGACGGTTCAGTGAACAGGTCGGCTACAAACCGAGTGTGGAAGAGATACGTGAGTTTGAATCCTGTCGGTCGTCGATTCAATGGAGAAATTGATTATACAATGAACTTAACATATGAAATTGCTCAACGTTTCGGGCGCCGAGATTTGGACTTTGTCTAAGAGTAAGGCGTTTTGCTTTCGGTTATTTGTGTTTTGACCGAATCCACTTTCGGAGATCAAGACACCGGTTGAGGCACTTGGTATTTTGTGATACAATATTTAAAATGCTGCGTTTTCGTTGTATTGAAGCCCATTTTGCTTATGAACCCAACCCAAGGCGGGGTCGAATTTATTTATAGTAGGTCGCATAATGTTGCTTATTAAGTTGAGCTACCCTGCTATCGCATCGTAGGTATTACCAATCGACAGGTATTTTGGGTCATCGCGCCCCAAATTACTTCCGATCAATCCCCCTGTAAAGTAACATTGCCTTTTTCTCATTGTTCTGTATGTCTCTTTGTAACTGTCACGTCAGACCCATTCAGTCCATTTTGCCTAACTGGGTTACTGCAACTAATCTGGAGCGAGTGAATCACAGCCACCCCTTTGCAAACTTTTAAATAACTATAAAACTAAATCATTCAACCGTAGCACCCTTTCGGTGCCTAGCTGCCAAGCCAACGGAAATAGGCACGATGGCTGGGATACTTCCATGTTCCCCAAGCCTAGACAGGTTCAAACCACGGAACTCCCGGTCCGTAAGAGGGCGCCTTAACCACTGAGCTATATCGGACCCAAAACTTCTAAACGGCCGCTTCAAATCACTAGTGATTCCATTTTCAGAACTGTTCTGGACAATGACCCCGAAATGCTGTGCGCCTTATAGTTACCTGAAAATGAACGGGTTCTTTTCGGTTTGACTATGGGGGTTTTCGTGATAAACTCGCTCTCCAAAGACTCCAATCAAGATCGTGCACTGAAATGCGGTCGATGGATGTATTAGTAAAAGACGTCCCGGAAAGAAGCATACCGAGCATTCGATCAATGTCATGTCACTTTGCATGGCACTTTGGTTTTTATGGTAGACTTACCCGAATCTTTCGTTTATCGTGTTCTGCAACTGAATTTCTTGAAGAGTTCCCAGCAAACTTATTAGTAGTGTTCTACGTTCTATCTAGTAGGTTTGACTGGATTGAGCACAGCCCTGAATACAGCAACATATCCATATCAGTTTGATTCTGAAGGCCCGTGGAAAGCCCAAACGAAATGTTCGTATACCTTTCAAATTCTTGAAACTACTGAGACCCGGAAACCTAGATGATAAAAGAAGCTTTTTAGCGTACCCTCTGGAATGCTGGAAGAAAGAACAGAAGGTGTATCATCTAGTAGCACTTTTATTCCACTGTATATTCTACTGAAACCAGTCTTCCGAGTCCTGATGACGACTTTGAAATCTTACTCGGCCACATCCTGCATGAACATTCCAACTTGATAAGGCCTATCACAACAGAGCAGTGGATGCACCGAGCATGAACCGGCTAATTTCAAAGGCCGCTCACCTGTCAGGCTACCCAACGCAGACCTAGTTGTGCTAGCAGAAGCGAGGGAATCACTTATACGACGGATCCAGACACAGCCCAGTTGGTCGTTCCGATAAAACAAGTCCGTTGGTGATTGAATGTCACAGTTTGCAAATATCTGTTGATGCTTAAATATGATGGAACGACTGGTAATTGGAAAGAATACGCCAAATCTGTCTGGTTTATTCGATATAAGAGTGATGCACCAAAGGTCCAACTTCAGCGGCATGAGTTGCTCGTCGACGGTCAACCAAAAGCCAGTAGTTAGTTGTATAAGTTCGAATGTCACACAATAGACTCCACTGATTTGTAACCAAATGTGTATACGTATCATCGAACAGAAAACGTTGCCTGATCAGTAAAAACGATCTCTTGACACCTATCCGCGAGACGCTTGAACCGAGAACCAGTCACATTACAAAAAATGAACAGTCATGCTTCCTGTGGGGCAGACTGCTTAGTGGAATCCGATGACAACCACGAATTCATCTGCTAATACTATACTGCAACACTGCGAAAAATTTCATCCACTGGTAGTTTCAGTAAGTCCAATAAAGTGTATATGCTAGTTGCACGTTTCTTTTCGACCCGCAAATAATTCGAAAGCGTTCTCGGATATCCGACTGATCGTTTGGTATAGACTTCCGTCACTCAAGCTCATCTACCAAGACGGTTGTTTCAGAGTTCCCAGCTTGGCGATGGTGGGCGCCGACCCACTGAATCCCGAGGTACATCAGGGTATCCAAGCGACTAGTTCAGGGGTTACATGTCTCAACACAAGCCATGTGCACATGTAGGTGCACTCAGATCCAGCTTACTCGTCACACTTGATCTCACAAGCCAACTCTCGATAGCTAACAGTGGTAGGCCATACCAGTAGGTGAACGAATCACCGTGTCGCCTCTGTAGGGCGAATGTAAGCTGGAGCTCTCCATACAAGGACAGGGCCTTTGTGCACAAGCTACAGTCAGGCTTTGACAAATTAGTCAATAGTCCATAGGGTGTTTTGGTGGCTTTTATATAGCCAAAGCCCACTGAGGAACCGCATAGTTTAACGAAGTAGCTACCTCACGCAACACAAGCTGTTCAGCCGAATGAAATAAAACTTGGAACGCTTGTGTAAGACTAGATTTCGTAAAAAGTCGCGCACACCCAAGCATCGAACCTCAGATAGAAGAAACTTACATAGGTTTAACCGAAAACATTAATATCTCTGGTGCTAAACCGATGGCCCGTGAACTGCTCGGTCTATCAAATGTTTGTACCTAACCGTAGAATGAGTCACGTTTTTCGTGGAATAAGGCGCTGACTCCGGATCTTTGCCTACTCACTGACTGTTTTAGAAGAGAAACGAATCGATGCTGAAGAGAGCGCAACTCAGAAATATTTGAAGGAGAATTCCAAACGTTGTCCGGGATGTGGTGCTCATGTTTTGGTAAGTCAAATTTTAGATGACTTGATAGCTGCTGTTTTTTGTCCGGTTTGCGAATCGCTTCCTATGAAGTCACCGCAAAGCAGTGGTGACCGTAATCCTTCACAGGGCACTAGGTTCAGTGTTCACTTCATAACGGACCCATTTTTCCACTTGCACAGGTTGATAGGCTTCGGTAATATCAGTTAAGCCGATTATTTCCAAACTTTTCCGTAAACCTGACCCCCTTTGATTTTTAGACAGCTGAACCACGTATTTCGCGGTGAATGTTCTTCAGCTTCAATACCCATACGCCGACACATCGAAGAGGGATTTCTCGAGAGGGAGTGTTGCATAGAATACAAATTGCTACTTATCCCTCAATTATTTCTAGATTTCCCAGTTTGGTTCCCCAATTTGGGATAAAATTAATAGTGCCAGCAACGAGACTGTTTGAATTTCTGGCGACATTGAACTCTGAACTTGAAACCACGCCTGATGTTCCAAGTAAGTGGGGGATGCGGACGTGCAGTTCACCTCTTCTAACCCAGTGATAAAATTCACATGAAAAGTTCACCTTCCTAGTGCATTCCAACTCTCCGTTTTCAGCCCATTGCTGGTTTGGTTTACATGTTATATACTTTCCTAGCCAATGGCTGCAAATTTTGTTAAGGCAGCCTTTTGTACACGACACATACGCACGCACGTAATACATTTCTCTCTTAACTTCAGAAAAACGAGGGATGCAACAAAATGACCTGTTCAAACTGCCACTCCTACTTTTGTTGGCTCTGTGGGGTATCCATTTTGGACCGTAGGAATCCCTATTCACACTTTGGCCCAGATAGTACTTGCGCAGGACGGTTATTTCTCATAACCTAATATCACATTGTTTAGCTGACTACGCCCCGTCAATCTGCAACGTGATTTTTTAATGAGTAACTTTTACTGATATCGTGTGCGGTTTGCACAGTAACTTGTTTCAGCCTTCATTCCGGATTCACACCTGTATTTTGTATACATTTCATTCATATAGACATTTTCACGATGGGGCGTTCTCAAAACGCTATGGGACATCCAACGAAATGAGGATTTCGTACGTTTATGGTGCGCATTTACTGAGTACACCAGAGAACGCACAACACCCCCATACATTTCATTTCTCAGTGCTATACATCGACCAGCCTCGTGTTTGATGGATACGACCCAGGGGCGGTTTGTCGATGACTTGGCATTGGGTTACCTGAGTTGCGTTGGCAACTGCCGTTTCCTCAGATTGGGAGACAAGACAAAGCAACAGTTAGTGACCCTGACGGATATGGCTGTGTTGCATCAAAGCTATCGCCTTCACTGCGTAGCTCTCACACCGGAAAAACACAACCATATGACGTCAGTGATCTGATTAGGCCATCTTCTCCAACGCATAGCTTTCATTCCCTTATTTTCCTTATGTTCGGTGAATGAACATGAAGCAGCTGGAACCACTGCACTTCAACGCACGGTTTGTGAGCTGAAAAATTGGACCGATCCATCTCAAGAGCTCACTTACAGAAGCGAGTCGCTCAAATAAATGAACGACATGCTGAGATCCGATATCTTTACTGCAGTAAGCAGAAACCGTAACTTCGCATCTCAAAGAGCAAACGTCTTCGAGAGGCAAGCGGTTTTGCTGGATCCAGATAAGATCCGATTTAGGGAGAAACCACTGTAGAGTAGCATAGTTGATCACAGATTTTTACTAGCATGTATTCCGCATCAAAGGGATCACGGTTCAACAAACGTGGGGTTCAATGTTCTTTTCAAGTCATTCAGGGATGAGATCAGCTCGATTGGGCGGGGTGACCTTCAACCGTTAGCAAACGAGAAATTCGGGCCTGCGTGCTGAGTTCGGATCTCTCTATGTTTGCTGTGCTGTTTGGACCTAGGGGATCCACATTTGGGAGCAGTGATTTCGTCGACAAAGACTGAGTTTACGCAGTCCAACGGCGACTGCTTCGGTTACAGATAGGTACGCGATTATATGGATTTGACTCCGTTGACGACAGTCTCAATTCACTTCAATTTATCAACTATAAACCGTGTACCATAGGCACATTGGTTCCAGCTGCTACAGTTTCAATCACCGGAAAATGGGAGTGCGGGCCATACAGCCCGGCCTTGGAAGCGATGACATGTTCAGTTTGTTCGGAAACTGGGTAGCTACGCATTGAAGGCGACAGCTTTGATGCACGAGCGCTACTGACTGCGCGATTGGGCCATTCCTGGGGGCGCCATTAGCCATTGGTCCCCACCCTGGGAGGCGGCAGTTGTCGACCCAACTAAGTTTAATGGTTAGTATTTTCATACTTGATTGCCAGGTCATACATTGTCAAACTCTCGGTCGCTTCCATTTCTGCTCTTCGCCCATCGACACTGCAGACGAACTGAGGTTAGAGTCAAGGAGGTATCAATGACTTTCGGTGCGGATAAACAAGTGGCATTTCTAGTCAAAGGGTAGAGGTTTTCACTTCACAAACCGGGAACGAAGAGTGGCACAAGGAAACGAATTAGTGGCTTCGTAACTTCTGCGATCCAGCCAGTCCGTCTGAATATCATTTCTGAATTGCAGCTTAAGACATGAAGACGTACTTACTGGGATGATGTCAGGTTGTCGTTGGTGACATTCAACCCGCTGGTCAACTCGTTGACACATCAAACCTGTCTATCCATAGTTCCCTACGAACTCTAGCGTCTACCGATATCGCAAAGAAAATTCGATTAATCTAGTATGAGTACACCCATTTGCTGTCTTGATGAAAGGGTTTTCTGTGCAATCATAATACAGCCGTGTTTCGGCTGGAGGAACAAAAGGCATGACCGGACGTGCTTAGACTTTCTTATGTGGTAGTTCGAACCCAACCTCAGCATCTCGACTACTCCTGCCTGAGTTTGAGCAACCTGTTAGTATTCCAGCCCTCATGCCTTCTTCCGTTGGCTAGGCAGTTAGATACAATCCCGACAGATGTCGGTCAACACGGGCCGACAGCTGATCCCATCGTGATCCAGAAGTCGAATGACGTTTCTTAATAAATAGGATGTGTTGTTGAGGATAGTATTTTAGCGTGCATGATTTGGGTGGATAAATATGGACCTTATTCAGGGTTGCGTGTAGTGCAGTTTCCTGCCTGCATTGTAAGACTCGAATTCAGACTTAAGGTTCACACACATTGGAAGCATAAGATATACAACAGTAAACAATGGGTAAAGTAACCACATCCGTTTTACTTGGTTTTTATCTGGGGGGTGCCTGATTTACGTCTTTAGTTTTTCTAAACTTGGATGACTGAATTCGGTGTAATTCTCCGTCTAACCAGCCGCCAACTCATTCAGACAGTTTGATCACCAATCTCAATCAGTCTTTACTCGTGCTATCATCATTGTTGACGGCAACATCAGAGAACATTGGTACTTCACTGCCACACAATCATGCCAATTTATTTGAACAAATCCCTTATATAGAGGGTCGAAAAATGGGACAACGAAGGGAACCTAGGGCTAGCCCATCACAAGGTGCCTACCACTTCTACGAGAATGTTTTGCGGTCCATTGATGTCTTGTGGATGCATCCGAAAAGTACTGGTTAAACTCCACTAGTTGACAAATTCTCACATAACCACTCGGCAAAAATAACAGGTTCTCATCCCTACTATGGGCAGTCTATTCACAAGGATCAGCATATCCATGCCAAATTCAGAGTGGTGAAAGCAAAGAGATGGTTAATCATTGACTTGCCAGAGGGATATGAAGATGTCTAAGAAGAGTCTTGGTACTGTCCGTGCGACTCGTCTTCCAGGATTGGGTCCGCGTGACCTCCTCTCCTCCAGCGCATGGTTGGAGACGCTGCAAGATATGACCGCCAATCGATGTCAACGGTGTTCTTGTTGTCCGTTTCTATCTAGTGTGCAGGCACATCGGAATGACTGTAGTAAGCTAGCAAGCACTATGTCCCTTCTTCATTCACTTTTATTCTCTTCTGCCTTCAAATAAATCATGGTTGTATGGGAACGAAGCATCAGCGTTGAACACAGATGCTGTACTGTCGATGATGATGTCTTTGAGGCTGTCCCACATGGTACTGGGAAGAGCATTTGTTGCCGTCAAATCTGGGAACCTTTACTGTCGACTGCACAACTAGTCAGTCCCCTTTAAGTACGACAGATGTGGAGCAATTTAGAAAGTTCTCTCTACGGATGGTTTGATCACCCTGAGTAATTCGAATACTCATCCAATGTGCCTCGGGTTACTTTCTTGGTTATTCGGTCATTAACAAAATTCACCCGTGTTGCAATTGTTTCACGATAAGTTGATTCCGTAAAACGGATTTACTGTGAATATTCATGCAACTGAATGACACTAATCACTGTTGCAATTGCAAAGCTCCAACAAAGTCGATTAAATTTACTTCAGCATTATTTTTATCACCATAATACACCAGCAGGCTTAACTAGTGGATTCGTACGACCCTGAGTTAACCGATGGATTTTCCTAGCGATGTTGTGGTCACGCTGTGCACACGGCAGTCAGAGGAGACCTCCATCTGTTTGCCATTGTTGCTAGGTGCCAGGTACTCAGTTAACACTAATTTTGTAGGTGAACACCGCCCATTAAAATGGAACAAGCTCTAAGCTGTGGTTATTCGCTTGGAAATGAAATGAAAGTGCTGTAAACAGCGTATCGACACTGGAATGTCACAGTCCAATATGACCCTGTTCATTCAGTGGTTTTTGCTGAGGAAAACTCGTCACGTCTAGGTAAGAAGCGCTCCAAATGGCTGGGAATCGGTTTGAATAGGTAAGGCGATCATATATAGGATAAGAGGATTAAAAACTTATCCACGATGCAAAAATCAATGGTCATTGTGGTTACCATATGACAAATACATCCGTATGAAAACATAAATGGATAGGAACACTAGAAGTTGGAGATCGCTCTATTGAGTGACTTTCATGTATATACAGCTAGTCAATCGACAATGTCATCTGAATCATACATCTGTCAGTGATTCTAAAAGATTCGACAATTGCAACCGGTTGCAGATGAAGAGCAGCTGATTGCGAGTTTCAGTAGAGGCATCATTGAGTACACAATTCACGAACGCTCCTCTGAGGTCTACCTTAGTATTACTATCCAGTGAAGTTATCCATCCCAGATCTTCACTGTACCAGGAACCCAGGGTAACCAGATCCTCCGATGAGGAAGTTGAAGTCTACAGAGGAGAAGCAAGAAAGCAGATAAACGTTTAAAATCTGTTCCATGAAAATTCGCTTTGAAACCGAGCATCGATTCCATCCTCTATCTCATAGTTAACAAAGAAACAGGATACACATATTGAGGTACAACACCGTTTCCCCCTTGATGGAGAAACCAATCCTTAGAAGAGACCACCTCAAGTTGGTCTTGTGAAGCGCGCTTTTTTCAAAGGAGACTATTTTTACCTGAACCTTTGAGGTAGCTCATCTAGGTACGGAGGGCCATTTAGTGACCACCTCTATAGCATTAACTGAGATTTCTGTGAGTGCTGATTCCAAAACCCTACGAGTAACCAAAAATTACCCAGCGGGCTTCACGCATCCATGGCGTTACTTTAGTGGGAAGTCTTGGTATGTGGTGAACCAACTAACACAATCAAGACAGTTACTGGGCAGTAGTTTGAGGCTCTGAGTAAATCAACCACATCGCCCAAGAGTGAATACGTTGTATGTTAAAGCATGGTAAACCAGGCGCGTCCAGCATTCGATGTTGAGGGCCTCGCTCTGCATGTCAGATGTATGTATGGCTGCTGAACTCTAATAAAAGCGCAAATTCAGTGTTACACCAAAACAGGTCAAGAAAGTTTCTTATAACTGGATGAATAGTGGTTAGTTAGTCAATTCACAAAGGAAACTATTTGGACACCGAACTGTACCATCAGGTCTTTCTCACGTCAGACCCACGCAGCGCACAAAGAAAAAATGTCATTGAAATTCAATGAAACTGGAGTATCTTAAGTCTCGACTGTCATAGGTGAAGGCAAATCAGAAGCTTCCGGAACCGAAGAGAGTGAACAAGAAAGGATAAAACCAAAGATGTTAAAACGGGTCACAGAAAACTTACGCGAAGAACAGACTCAATGGTTCGAATCACGTCTTTGTATAGGATGTTCAGATCTGCCAAGATACCACGCACTATGGGTAAATCATTAAGTTGTGACTGACAACCCAATGTAACATGCAGCAAACACGGCAGAACAGTACGGTCTGACAGCAGGGGGTGAGGAAGAAGAAAAATAGATAACGCTTCATCAACGCCAGACACAAGGGCATTGGTCGAATCTTTGAGGACTTCAATCGAACAATGGATGGCTTACGAAGTGAACAGCGTAAGGTTTTCCGAAAAAAAGGACCAAGTATTATTATTATCCGATAACGGTAATTAAATCGGGTATTCTGTACCAAAAGTCCTTGCTCTGCCCCGAGGAGAATCTTTGGTTTGTGCCAAAATTGGAACTCGTCATCAGTTGATAGCTAGGGCGCACTTTTAACTGGCCAAAGCCGTTCTACGTAAAGAAAATTCTGCACAGAGAGATTCGAACTCAGCAAACGTGGATAATTCTGAAAGAGCAGATCATATGCAACCCTGACCCGGTGAGATGGTCTCCACTAGAAACACAACTAGCGCCCTGTCAAATGTTCAAACGACATAACTGCAATCGCTTGTCGCATACCTTGCGGGAAATCGCTATGCTCCATCCTATCATGAACCGTATTTGTACCTGCCCATTGAAGGCTATCTGATGTTAAGGCGATAAGATTCAGTATACAGCAATGACCAGTATCATTGGGGCGCCAAAGCGCTAGGTTAGTAAGTTGCTTAGATTTGGAACCAGAGCACTCACGCATTTAAGTGCTGCTCACCTACATATTTCAACCTGCACAGTTAGCAAGTAGAGGGTTACAACACGCTCTGGGAGCGGAAAAAATAAAGCGTTTGTGACATGTTTGCACGGAGCACTGAGAACAGAAACGGCAATCAGGACAACATGCACATCGAAAAACCAAACCTGATGAGAAGCAGGATGCGGCTTCCGGAAGTGGCATACTGGCCACAACGGCGTCCATTACTGGTATTATTGCACGAAGACTGTTGTAATAGGCCGAGAACGGAATCAGATGCGGCTCATCCTCGCAGACTTTGTGCAGGTAGATACCAAACGTGGGCAGCACTTTGTCAAACGACTGAACTGTTAAAAAAGGGTATATGTAAAGGACTCTAATAAGCGAACCTTGTGGAAGAGGTATACTTAAGCGGACAGACGAGAAGTGTGGAGAAACAGAACAGTAAAACCACTGGCTGGTACACACTAAACTGTACAGTCTAATTTTCAACCCCAACTTCGTGAGTTAAATTCTTTGACTACGTAGAGAGAATATGCGAACATATCAAGTCCAGCAGCGTAGAACAGGGCTGCTATTCCCCACCAATCTTCAACTTTGTCACCAATACAACGTTTGAAACTGCTACGCTTCCCCACACAAATCCATGGGTAGAAATATCCCCGGGTGAAAGGAAGAAGGTCTTTGCTGCGGAGTTCTTTATTAGAAAACACTAACTGAACAGTTACAGACTATTGGACAGGGAAGAAAAACTCTCATATACATCTTGTTTACAAAAACTGGATATCCACCTTCTCCTTGAACGCGTCTTCCTGAACTTTCCTGGATATTCATTGACTGTTACTCAAATGCAAACAAATGCTGCAAAGGGACTCCACAAATTCCGTAATAGATCTCACTTTTCAAGAGCCGCGGAGCGGATTTACGAGAAAACATGCCACTCCATGCCTCATCAGTAATATCCACAGTTACACGGGTAGTTAACTCCACCTAGCTCACATTCTCAGGTGTACAATCCATTTTGAATAGCGCGTCATTCAGCAGGACAGCATGGCATGCCTGTTACACGTACAGAGTAAAGGGCTTCATGTAGTCGACGTGGTGGATAAATTGCTGATTAAGTTTTCGGTGGACTAACTAAAGGCGAGACCAAATCGCGAATCGGAGATCCCTGAGCAACCTTTGCCAACCATTCACATCCCTTGCGACGGCGTGACATCAGTTTATCTGTCATGAACATAGCTTTCACTTCGACAGAGAGACCCACACTGCTTGTTGCATCAGAGAAGTGGCATCTACGCGCGGAAGATTTACGATTTTTTCGCCGTCGAATTAGCAACGCTGAAATACGCTGGTTACTTTTAGGAAATTCTCCGAGATGAACGAGCTATTAACATTCCGTAGGCTACGTGGGTCAGGCAGCATGATTCAAGCGGCCATGTACTAAGTGGAAATGACCAAGAAGTAGGGATTCTGTGACTTAGGGACGGAATACGAAAGTCCCTCATAGTGTGCTCAGTCGGGTCGATACCTGCCGTCTCTCTGAACGAGCGGTCCTCAAGGAGTCGAAATACAAAAGGCAACGGCAGTCAGTGACGCCTCTATACTAAAGCTATCGCTCTGATAAGTACCTCAACACTTTCCCAACTAGAGCGATTCAACGGCACTTAACCAACTAGACCGTCGCCTCCAATGCCGGACTGTGTCCCATGGTATCTCATCTGTCGGTTAACGAAACAGAAGCGGATGGAACCATTACATGTTTCATAGCTGAATAAATGAACTGAATCGAGAGCTGAAAAAATGTTGTGGTTAGAGGAGTGGAGGGAGAACCACTATGGCAGATCAATACATTTATGGAACAAGGACAAGTTTCGTCATTCTGTAAAAATTTGAAAAAAAAATCGTTCAGCCGCAACATCCTTCCGGTGCCTAGCTGTCGTGCCATCTGAAGGAAGAATGAGGGATGGGTTGCCCAAGCCTAGATAGGTGAAGTCGAGAGTCAGAGGTCGGGTTCGAACCACGGACCTTCCGGTCAGTGAAGTCACGCTCTAACCACTTGAGCCCCAAACAATTTCAAGTTAATCCTCAGAAGCACCCAGTTTTTGGTTCATTATGGCTTTAAACTGTTATATCTGACTGCTGTTCCCGCTCCAGTGCCTAGTGCCGGAAGAAGACTCTTCGATAAGGAACACAACAGCCTTATTCCGAATAAGCGAGTATGAGTGCGAAAGTACAATGGCCCCAAGCTATTTTACTGAAGGGACTGTCTGACCTTAGTCCAACGCTATCTCGTGCTGTCTGGCTTTGATACAAGGCTGTCACGCGCTGCATATTGAGAGGGCGTTGTCTGTCTGGTCAGCATTTATTGGAGTTGAAAGTCTCAGTAGATTTCGAGCATTCAGTGGTTACCTTCAGGAATCTGGCCTTCGTGATATCAACCTTGGTTGTTTGCACAAAACCATACACAACAGCTGTGTGTAGAAAAAACCATCGTAAGTTGTTTTGTCCTCATATTTGTTCAGCTGAGTAGCCCCAGCCCTAACTCTGAATAGATCACGAATGAGTCACGAATTGATGCATTCAGATGCTTCGTGTGGCTGGTATTAGCTTCGAACCCGTCTATCCTAATGCTGCTCGTAAAGCTGTTGTCGTAAGCATCCGTCACGTTGTGACAAACAGACAAACTGCCGAGCAATCGGATCAGGAAGAAGTTATGGTTTTTGTGAAGAAAAGTTCCCTCAAAAACCTGCAGCCATTTGCTTACTGTGAGAAGGCGAGAAAGGAGCTCTCAACATGGTAAGTTATCTATTCGCAACGTTACAAGGAGAGTTTCATCATAAGATTGATGGTCATCATAAACTGGTCACTCTATGGAAGCTCTGTATTTGCATCTTCGTGAGGAAGCAGCGAGTACAATCGCTTGCTGTCAACTAAGTCATTCCGAGAAGCGGGGTTAAAGGTCAACCCAGTGCATATCTACCCCAGCAGTCCTGTTGGCCCAGTGACCGATGTCATTTCGTGAGTTCGAAACAACTGAGTTATACTCGGTTGGGCAAAACAGTGGACGACAGAAGTCTCGTGTCATCTGACGAAAAATATGCTACTGTAAAATGGGATTCAAGACGTGTTGTGACAGAGTTGGTGGGAAACGGATACCATTGGTCGTTGAAATAAACGAAATATGAAAAATATGGAAGGTATGAAGCAAGTTAAATGGCTTCAATGCTAAAATGCTTTTTGAATATTGGTTCAAAAGCTTGAATAGTTACAAGCGACTCAATCCCATTGCGGTAGTGTATTCATACCCCTAAAGATGTCTCCTCATCTGTGAGGTTTGGTAGATTGGAGACTAGTAGAGATGCTGAAATAACCAACAAAACAACATCTTCTCAGGCACGTCCGATGAAAAGTCCGGACTTCCCAATATTTTCGAAGCAGCGCTACTCAAGTCTTAGGGTAGTTCTTCAGATTATACACCTTATCAATCTGGAAGGAAAGCACTAGCTGCATGAAAGAAGCAGTTTGAGTGATCATAGAAGGCTACAACGTTTTGAAAACCAACCACCCACTTAATAATAGAGCAATCATCGGAATAACTGTCTTCCTACAGTCAACAGATTGCAGACTTGTACCAAGTTAGCCACCAAGACGACGAAGAGCAAACAAGGTCAAAAAGTGAGTGGAAACGACAGCAGAACCACAAACCAGGAAAAACTACCGCTTCCAACAACAAGTTAGAGAGCAGTAGATTTACCCACACCATCATCATCAGAGACAGAAACATTAGTACAATCAATAAAGTTTATCTCATTATTTTTAAACCCTCGAATGGAGAGAGGAAAAGGGTGGATGAGGGAGAGGATCTGGTGATGAACTATGCCAAGCATTCTCAGGTGCCTACACCTCCAAGCGCTCAGACAATCTAGAAAGAAACTGACAACACGAACGCCAACAACATCGCTATTTCTTGGAATGTCTCTAGCCAAGTGCAGGAGAGGTCACGGAGACCCTATCTTGGAAGACGCACCGTACCAACAACACTCAAACTCTTCTTAAGCTCTTTCACACCCTTCTGCCAAATCATATGCTGTCCATCTTGTGGCTTCCGCCATTTTGAAGGAGAAACAGAACAAAACTCATCTCCGTAGACGGTGTTCCGTCATACATAGCACAGAGCCGAGCCCCTGTAGTTGGTGTTGCTGGATGTCTTCGATGAGTCAAGTACCTGATGTACAACCAAATACCCGTTTCCTAATTACCTCGTTATGTATTCGTAGGTGCCAGCCAACACCAGCAGTGCTTCTGAGGCACCGGTGGTAAAAAATGGACACCTCACATAATCTGTCCAAATAGGCCTTGTTTTGCAACCATGCAACAGTACCTTAATCCAGCCTGGTACACGCTGGCCGCTTTCTAAACAAAGTTATTATGAGGTGTGGAAGCTGAGATCCTCGAAGTTTACCACTCAAATGACCATGCTGTGAACCGCTTCCACTAAACCTCAGCTGGATCTCTATATACTGATGCAGTGTACGCCAAACCAACTTTGGTATTTGAGTGAGAACGTCAGAAGGCCATCATACCCAAAACCTTCCTGGAGATACATACGCCCTCCAGAATTAATGACGAGAGAGGTACCTAAAACTACGACCCAAACGCACAACACTAAAATGCATACGAGAAAACAGGTCCGAGTACTTGAACTTATGTGACCTTATCATCGGTCACGCTTTCAGCTCTCACTTCCACCAGTGGCCCTAAGTAGGTGGTCTCATTAGAAAGCGGTAATAGTTAGGCACAGTGCTTCAGTAAGCAGGTTAAATGATATTAGGATAGCCGAAGAGCTCGACTCTAAGTGACGCTGGATGGAGAACATATTACAAAGGATGCGGTTAATAGGGCGGCGAAAATCGGTGGTCATGATTGTGATTCTGAACAATGGCTCTTCTAAGCCCTCCTGCTGCATCGCAGATTGCACTTGGTTGGGAAAGAAGAGCACTTTGGAGCACAAGCCTTAGTGTTCTTATGGGACCCCACGGCTATAGTTTGTGAAGTCCCATCCCCAAAGCGGATAGGCACAGCCAGTTAGCACGACAAAACAGGGCCCCAGAAGTTAATCATTCTATTTCTCAGCCAGAAGGGCGCATACCGAAAAACTGTCACAAATCACGGCGAGCTATACGACTCACTTAATGCACTGATTCCAGTAATGTTCGAAGAGAATGTGTAGAACAATCTATTGATAATCTCCACCTCGTCTCCATGTAACCATCTGTAATTGGAAGGGTTATAAAAGGAAAAACGCACCTCATCTGGTGTTGCGCAACTAGAATTGCATCCATCAAGTCTAATCCACACCAAACTTCGGCTAAACTATCATCGCCTCGGGTAATAGCATCCAATAGGCGAATGGTAGCGATGAGTAAATGACCTATCTTTGCGGGCTTACATATGTCATGCCATAAGACATACCGTTGGTGGAGTTTTGAAGAATGAACAAAAGATGTTCGATAAACTCGGCTTGGAAACGGATAGCGTTTAACCATGTCGCACTCGATTCCTCAGACGCCAGGACGGTTTGCACCAACCTGGCAGAGGGAACACTGATAGAAATCAGATGTGTGGACAAACCTGCAAACTGCGGTCAAAGTGGGTGGATCACGCGAATAGAAAAGACCTAACGCACGGTTTCTGTGAAGAGTAAGGATGTTGAGCGAATCCTCCGGAAGCTTACATCAATAGTTCGTTGTCGGACATTTGCTGGCATACAGATGAGTTGCAGGCCATGTTTGTTAAAATACCCACACCAATTTCCTTCCAGTAAGTGAGGATAAGACACGACTTACCAGAAGACGAGGATACCGCTGACACAAGAGGACATCTGTCAGGATAGCAATCACACCGAACTCCTCAAGATAGGGGACAACATCACGGTTGACTGTCAAGTCCCAAAGACAGCATAACTCCTCCTCGATTCTGGGATCCAGTTCTTCCACGGCGTCATCGCTACCGAGGGGCTCGTCCCTGACAAGCTTGAGAAGATCCATTAGAAGTGAGAACAGCCATCGTTTGCTGTATGCTGTGTCACCAATGTTATCTATATTCTGTAGTTCTTCCGAGAAGTCCGGGGGAGGAGATGGGTTGCGAGCTGACATTGAGCAGCACCTCAATGCGCGATTCGCAAGAATCTGTCGGCCTGGAACACAAGAGTCGTATAAAAATAGAGAAGCGTCACAAACTTCAGTGGGCAGCTAGAGAGCCCAGTATGACATACATGAACTCGCTTAAGAAAATACATGGGTTTACAAAAACTGCTAGCGGGAAAACTGATTGAGAAGGCACCAACTGCTATTAGTATTGAAGGACAAGATGAGAACGTTAGCACTTCACGGAAGTACAGCCCCATAATGGAAAGAAAAATTGGGGGGAGAAAAGCTCTCGGACCCGCTTACACCTCCAACACCCAGTCAAGCAGGATGGAAACTGGTAGCATGGACTCCATTGACATCGGTTGGTCGCCACGTCATTCCGTGTCTCCACCCTGAAAGGTGAGGAGCATCATCATCATCATCAACAACAACAACAGCAACATCAACATCATCATCGACAGCACGACATCAGTGTTCAGCACCAACGCTTCGCTGTCGTAAGAGCAATAACAACACCAAAACTTTTCGCAGCATCCTTCATTCCCTTCTGTCATGTCAAATTCTGTTCACCTCCAGGTTTCCGCCACTCTGAATTAGGCATGGAAAACAGCGCATCTTGCCAAGCAATAAATCGGCATGCATAACACATGGCAGACAGACGTAGCCAGCATTATTTGAGTGGAATACCTGGTCATTTCATTCCAAATTCGCTAGGTCCATCCGACTTCGGCTATTGCTCTGAAGCATCAGTGGACGAAGGACCTGAAATTGTCTCAGTTCTTCCACCAGAAGTGACCAAGTCTCGCAGCCGTAAAACAATACAGGCCACACTGTAGACTGATATACGCGTCCTTTGGGACCCAGCGATATGCCTTTCGATACCACAAGTGACGCGAATCGGCAAAAGCAATCCTAACTTCTGCAATTAGTGAGTTGTCTTCGTCACACTAGCGTCCGAGAAGACGCAACTTCCCTGCATTTTTAAAGGCTTATCTTCAGACCGAAAGCTGCACTTTTACCTGGCATTCGGGTTCCTGTGGTGCAATGATCTTGCGGCCTATACTGGCTGGAACACAGTTCCTCAAGGCTCACTTGTGGCAGGAAGGCCGATGGAGATCAATACAAAGAGAGATCAGCGAGTCTCCGAACTGTGAGAAATCGTACTACGAGGCGGACTGCTGATGGAGTCGCACTGTTCTCTGTGATGGGAATGTGAAGGCAGCAAGGCGTTTCCTTTACGCGATCAGTACGTCCATATTTATGGAAGCAGCGAATCTGCCTTCCTCAGAGGAAGGACGGGTTAGAAACAGTTGATTCTACCGATCACCCAATGGTCGATCGTAGCCGGAGGCGCGTTATTCAATACGGTCAAAATGCTTTTAAAACCGAAGTCTGGAGCACGTGCTGTGCGCAGCTACACCGAGAGTCAGGGGGTTATGCCTTACTCCCTGCGCCCTCAGGGTGGGCCAGGCCCCTGCATCCAAATGATTCGAAGATTAGAGGATCCATCCTCCCATTGTCTTGTGGGTCCAACTTTGGACTTGAACGCTCAGGGTGGGGTATCTAAATCAAACCCCCTTATTCGGTCTGGGTTACCAGCAGCTATCGTTCATCGACCTCTCCACACGTCGCTCACTCAAGCACTTCTGATTCGTGTGGTTGTCAGTGATCTAACCGTTGCACCGTCCCTAGGTTTCTGCCCAGTAAAATAAATATAAACCCTCATAAATTCAAGGGGTCCGTTCCACATTGCTGCTTCCAAAATCTGTGATCTGCGTCAAATTTGGCGGCAGCTCTCGCTCAGACCTTGTTCTCTTTCGATACATGTACTTCGTGTCTCCGAAACACGCAAACGAGACCCCAGTTTGGTCACACATGTCAAACCACACAGCACGAATCCAGGTTTATCGCACTACGCTCTTCGGATATTGGTGATCCTGATGCAATCGTGCATGGTATCCACTTTGTGGAAGTTGCACTTGGCTCCGGAGTTGAATTCGCTTCACTGGACAAGATTCCAGTAAACAGACATTGAACTTTAAGGTTGGCTCGTTAAATCTAGAGCAGTGCATCTCGTCGCGATAAACGATGCTTGTTTGCTGTATCAACGTACGCTCCGACAGATAGCCCGTCATGAAGAAACTGGACCGTAGCGTGGTGTGATGGTTTGTGCACCTCGGCGACCCATTGAAACATACTAGGGAGTGTTCGTGCGAAACACTCAGTCTCATACCATGTTGGTCAATGGTTAGAGGTCTGACGAACAGGATCCTGGTTCCCCAGGTTGTGGGTTGGAACATGTGCGGCGACGTGTCCCGTAAAGATGCACTTGCATTTCCAGACAGACACCGCTGCCCTTCGGTCAAGCTTTTGAGTCAAGGGCTTTGATTAAGGATCTTTTGTCTAGGTGTGGGCGCCCTGGCAGTGGCCCAGCCCACGCACAACCATGGTACCTACGTCTGACGATAAACTCATGCCACTTCGTCCGTCGCGTGGTGCTATCAGCCGGGCCGCCTCACTTGCTGCATACAACATGGCGGGTAAGCGAAAACAGGCTACTACTGATACCTCCTTTCTTTCTCTTTCACATACTTTTTGTTCCCCACCCCATCACCCCATTAATGACCCTCTCATTCTAGACCCAGCACTTAGGGCTGATGACTCCGTTCGTCCTGAGTCGGTTTTGCAAACAACATCTGCGCATCGTCCGGCGCCGACATCCTCAGACGTCTCGAAATCACTAGTTAAGCCTCGACACCCAGTCTATCTTGCCACCTTCAATGTCCGCACTCCGAAGCAAGCACGTGAACACTTGCTCCCACAATACACTTGGTATTAGTGTATGGTGTATCAGAAACAAGAATTCAGGATGCAAACACAGGCTAAGGTAACTGCCCCATCACTCTCCACTCGCTTCTGGTTGCGCATCTCTGGTGATCCCGAGGCTGTTGCAGCAGGGTGTGCAGGGATCGATATCGCCTTAAGTCACCTGGCGAAAGGATCCTTACTTGACTGGATACCTGTTGATAGTCGCCTCTGTGCAGTTCGTCTGGCAATGTCTGTGAAGCAGTCTCACAAGCGGGTAGTTGATCGATGACTGGTCGTTGTGTCTGCTTACACCCCAAATGACTGTAGCCCTGACACCATCAAAGGCAGGTTTTATGACACCCTGAGTGCCCTGTTGCGACAGGCTAAAAGCTCAGATATTGGTGTGGTTGTCGAAGACCTGAGCACAAAAGTGTTTAGCGCATTCGAGACTGTATTAGATGGTCGACAAGGAGTGGACTCGGTATGTATGGACAATTTGAACCATTGCTTTAGTTGCGTGCTCAACACATGCTAACTTCATGCAGTACTAACTTCCGAAATGGCCGAAATCGTCTAGCCACATGATGTCCTCCAACGGCCTGCTAGCCACGAGCTCAGATCAATCACATTGCCACCAGTTACCGATGGCACGGATAAATAACTGACTTCCACTCGTTTTGGAGCACATTTGTGGGTTCGACCACGGATTGGTCTGGAGTCGCTTTTTCCTTCCTTTTTAGGGTCGCGTAATGTGCGGACGAATCGCCTCGTAACTGAGAGACTGTCAGATCAGGATGTCAGACGAATTTACGAGAATCGTATTCTAAAGTCTTTTCCAAATTCTTCTGTAGTAACGGTATTTTCCTCAGCTTAGTTCTCGGTCTGAGCCTCCCAAGCTAGCGTTCACGTCAAAACAACCACCAAAGGTGCACAAGGTCTATTAACGCCCAAAACGAAGTCAAGAACAGTTGTACAGCGCTTCGTATATATAGCGTAAGCGGTTATAACTTTCTGGAATTTCCGACGCGTTCTGGATGCGCCGTTGGCAACCGGCATTTGGCCAATACTGGGTCATGATTGGCAGTTGGGTCAAGATTGTTGACCAATCAGATCTCGTCTTGATGCCGGACCGGCAAGCGTCCTGAATTCTGGGCCAACCTCGAGCGGGCCAGGCTTCTCGGTCGTAGCAGCGCCTAAAGACGTGCGGTATGGTGGGATCCGCGTGGATTCCTGCCTAACACCTCCCCCTTGAAGTTTGTTGACGTAGCTTCTAAGCCGGGGGTTCACTTGCAGTGGCCTGACTGGCTTGCGGATCCTGTCTGTCCAGCGTCGCGGTTGTAATCCGTGCTCAGGCTGGGCCTCTGACGAAGCAACTGATTAAATTTCTGGGATGGT